ACACTCACACACAGAGAGACATACACATATACCCACACCCACATATATACGAACACACATATACAAATGCACACATACACACACATATACAAATGCAAGTCTATATAGTTAAAGTACATAACAGGTTCGTGTGTGTGTGTGTGTGTGTGTGTGTGTGTGTGTGTGTGTGTGTGTTGCTGGGAATTGAATTTAGGGCTTCATACACAATAGTCAAATGTTCTCCCACTGAATTATATCAACATCCCACAGTTTGGGGGGCGGGGCTGGTATACAAAAGATTTTTCCTATTTAAAATAATGATCCGATTTTTGTCCTAAGGTAAAGAAAACTTGTTGATGATAAAGTAACACCAAATTACATCAGAGAAAAAAGCAAATGCTGATGGGCTGAATTCCACTGCCTGGGAGTAAACACCTGTTAGTGACTATGTGTATGAACCTCTGAAGAGCCACGTATTGAGGGTACTTAGTTACAAATGAAAATAAACCTAACACATTGATACACTAGAGCAAATAGAGTCATCAACCAAAGAAAATGTTAAGGCCAGCAAATCCTTAACACAAAATGTCCAGGAAAATAAGTCTAACCCAACCATCTGGGGACCCAAAGTTGGAGAAGTGAGAACAGTCCAGCAAAACCACACTGTACTTGTTAACACTAATATGGAAGCAAAATGGGGCCTCAGAAGAGATAAATGTCCTTTAAATAAAATAAATATGTACTTTTAATTGTGTGTAGGCCTGTGTATCTGTGTATGTGCATACGGGTGCAATGTCCAAAGAGGCCAGAAGAGGGCACAGGATCCCCAGAGCAGGAATCAGAAGCAGTTGTGAGATGCCATGCTGATTCGGGAAATGAATTTTAGTTCTCTACAAGAACATCAAGTGCTCTTAACCACTGAGCCCCCTCTGAAGCCTAGAAATAAATATTCTCAACAGGTGAGTATGAATTAAGTCACTGGGAGGTTTGTTTAACCTGTTTTCAGCATTCTGAAAGTGCTTTATGGCTCAAAACATGCAACAATGTCAAAACATCCCAATGAGCACAGGGTGAGTGCATGATTCCACAATGGGGATTTCTGTTGAGTAAAACAAGTAAAACACAAAAGCGCTAACTGTGAACATTTTAAAGAATCAATAATGTGATTTGCCTTTCATTGCTATTTATGTACAATTTGGGCTAGACTAGAAACTGTGTTTATCTAACAGTTTCAGACATCACTAATTCCACAGATGCTTGCTGGATACCCACTGAGGTGATGGCAATAGATGCCTGGAAATCACAGGGGGGCAGAGCAGAGGAGGCAACAGACAGTAACAGACACTGTACAAAGAAAGGACATTCCAGATGACAAGAGCCATGGATAAAACAGACATCAGGCAGTGGGGAGGGCATGCAGTTTTTACAAGGGTGGTCAGGGTGTGCCTCCTTAGGAAGGTGACATGAACAGAGGCTTGTTACTGTTGTAAGATTTTACTTTTTCTTTTTAATTATCTATATATGTCTATGTCTCGATCCCATAGATCACACCGGCCTTCAATTACTGAACTCCTGCCTCAGCCTTCCAAGAGCTAGGATTGTAGTCCGGGCCTGACACATTAGCACTTTGCTAACAATTACTGAATGGTGCCAGGTATACCTTTATTCCCAGTACTCAGGAGGCAGAGGCAGGAAGATCTCTGAGTTTGAGACCAGCCTAGTCCATAGAGAGAGTTCCAGGACAGCCAGGGCTGTATAATGAGACTCAGTCTCAAAATGAATTATTAACTAATCAATCAATTGATTGATTAATTTCACTGAATGATGGCTAAAGTTTAATTTATATGTAAATTATTTTCTTCTGCGAGTATACATTTTAAGGGCAAAAGAAAGAACTAACATTTGCATGCACTAACTTTGGTTGCATATGAGTGAGCTATGGAGCCATCAGAGACTGTAGACAAGAGGATCTCAGGAAGGAAAATCCAGGAAATGGAAGTTACAGGGAAATTTGCTTCCCCACCCCCATAAGACTGCTCCAGATAAATGCATATTTTAGTCTGCCCTTTCTCAAGGGTCTTACAAGAGCAAGGATTTGAGTGACATGGTTGAATGATGATGAGAGGGAAGTGGGATGAGGTGGGACAAAATGACCTCTAGGTACCCTGAATGGCATCCATGAGGTTAGTAAGGGTGTCAGATGCTAAGAGTGATTAAAGCAACACAAAGGTCAGATCACAGGGAGAGGTAGACTCTCGTCTTACAGCCACAGCTTCATAACTATGTGGTCAAGCAAAAGTCCATCAAATGCCCAGTGTCCTGGTTTCCCACCCAAAGCACCATCTGAGACTACAAGATTCCTTCATTAGCTGAGAGAGATTCTCCACAGGACAGTGCTCTGAAGTTGTCAAAGCACTCAGGTGTACACATAAATGAATCTCACTGCTATTTGACAGCCCTAAGTAAATCTGTTTGCTATTTATTGAAGAATGTGCTGTAAATTCTGACCCAGAACTCAAGGGTTGGGATAAAAGGGAAGCCCAAAATTCACAGAGGACAGAAATCCTGTCAAGCAAACTCATGTTCCAGGTGAAGATGTTTGGATCTGCAAGTGACAAAGAACTGAACAAACTCACTGGTGTACCCAGTCACACCCCAAACATTTAATGTATGTCTTAAGTATGGCTGTGCTATTGACAGTCAGTTACAAATCCCAGCACTAGAGTCAAAGTCTTGCCAGCTGTTGTCCATCACTGGCCTCCTGTGCAGGAAAGAGCTCCCAGAAGGCCTTGCTTCTGTTGGCCTTCACTATATATCATTCTTTGGAAGGACAGTAAGACAAACTGGAATGGCTAAAGATATCTTGGAGTCATCTGTGAATGCATCATCTTCAGATACAGATTTGAGAGAAACAAAAGCTGAGGCTCCAAGTGGGGAGTGGAGACGGGGGAGTCAGTAAAGGAGGAAGACAAGTTTCCTTCCATGGATGAGCGAAGAAGTTTCCAAATACAACACGAAGACTGGAGACTGGAGAGATGACTCAATGGCCAGGAGCACTTCCTGCTCTTGCAGAGGAGCTGGGTTTGGGTCCCAGCACCTACACCATAGTCCATAACCATCTGGACCTCCAGTTTCAGGGAACCCAATGGCCACTTCTATCCTCTGTAGGTATCTACATACTGTACCCACACACAAACACATATACAACTTTTTACAATTAAATGCAAGACTATCACTTGAAAAATAAGCTAATCCAACAATTATTGAAAGGAATGTAATTCCAGCCTAGTTTGATGTCTGACTGGGGTAACCTGGATTTAATACAAAGAAATGTTTCATGACTATGGTTATATAAGAAATACTTAAAGCCTATGTGTCTGTATTTTATCAATGAAGAAGATGGTATGGGATAGAAAGAGCTTACTTAAGGCAAGATCGAAGAGTGTGAGGGACAAGGAGCAACAATAGGTTTCTCCCACTGTCCACAGAAAGTGACATGAACCAGTAGATGAGAAAATTGGCTCATTTAGAAGAGATATTTTTTATCTTAGCTGTAAAGATGGATGGGTATGGAACCATTCTAATGGCTTCAGGGTCAGACAGCAACCTCATTGGCAGTAGCTCCCAGTGAGATTCTTCACAAAGGACAAGGTGTTTGCCAAGGGCTGTGCCTGTCTAGACAAGTGGTTCCCAACCTTCCTAATGCTGCAACCCTTTAATACAGTTCCTCATGGTGTGGTGACCCCCAACTATAACACTATTTCCATGCTACTTCCTAACTGTAACTTTGCTACAATTATGAATCATAATGTAAATACTTTGGAAATAGAAGTTTGCCAAAGGGGTTGCCACCCACATGTTGAGAACCACTGACCAAGATCCAAGAAAACTTTGCCAAGACACATCAAAATATTTGCGTTTGACTCCCCAGCACCATCAGGCATATTTCATTCTTTATGGTCACCAGCCTGGGACTGTTGGGTACACTGTAACATATGGCTCTACACAGAAAGGGCCAAGCTTTGACAGGTCACTGAGGTATGGCAGAGCCAACCATCATTAGGCTTCTTGAGTGTCATCTTTTATTCTTTGTCCATCTAGTCATTTGTTTGAAATACTGAGGGGCCATGGAAATGACTGTGGTAAAGTGCTTGTTTGCCATGTAAGAATGAGGACTGGACTCAGATTCCCAGCACTCAGGGAAAAAGCCTGGCATGGCGTGTATGCTTTCACCCCATCACTGTGAATGCTTTCACCCCATCACTGTGAATGCTTTCACCCCATCTCTGTAAATGAAACAGGCAGCTTCTGGGTACTCACTGACAAGCCATTCTGGCTGAAATGGTGAACTTCAAGTTCAGTAAGAGACTCTATCTTACAAAATAAGGCAGAGAAACCATTGAGATAGACATCTCCATATTGACCTTCAGTGACCTCTAGTTTCCACATTCTCAAGCACTGATAAGTACAACCACACACATAGAAAACCATCTTGATTTCTAACACCAGTAGCTATACCACCTTGAACAGTGCCAGCCTACATAATCCTTGGTTTATGGAACCTCTTACAGGATTTCTTTATATGTTTATGTGTATGTGTCTGCATGTTAGTATGTACACAGGTGTGTAGGTGACCTTGGAAGCTAGAAGAGGGTGTTAGGACCCCAGGGCTAGAGTTATAGGAGGTTGTGAGCTGCCATGTGGGTCCTGGGGACTGAACCCTGGTCTCTGCAAATGCAGTGTGTTCTCCTTGCCATGGAGTCATCACTCCCTCCCACACTGGACCTTTTAAATGAGACTGAGAAGAGCTGTTCCTTCTGTATCTCTGGTTTGCTTGGAGGTTCATAAGCTGAGTCCAAACAAGCAGCTATTGATATGAATAATTAATGCCATCACTGTTGTTTCATGCCCTGAAGCTAGAGTGTGTGATTGATACATGGAAGCAAATGACCACAATTCCCCGAGGACTGAAGACAAGACAAAAAGCCACAAACCCACTGACAGCGTCTAGGAAGTCCTACCTCTCAGCAACTGGTTTGGCAATGATTTCAAAAATGATCTCTTGCTTTGCATCTTGGTCAAATATCCTTTGAAATCTGCAATGTGAAAATGGTGAAAATGTGAAAATCTCAAAGCTACACCTTCAAATACTACTGGATTAATGAATCTTGTTTTCATGAACAGGTTTGTAAATGACCCCAGGCTGACATCACTGGGCTTAGCTAACCTAACACAATGTTTGCCCTGTCATCGCCCCCACACTGTGACATTGTAATCTTGCTCACAAATGGTGAGTGAACAATATGGCTTTGACAAGATCTGTACAATTGTTCCCCTCTGAAAACAATCACACCAGCTTTGAACCACATAATAAACTGTGTGTTTCTAGCTCTCAAGAGGGACAGTGCAGCAGGCTTTCTTGGACGGCCAGCCCCTTCATCAGGACATGGAGACTTCGTATTAGATAAGAATACTTAGCCTTAGTTTATATTTATTTCTAGCTCTTATAACTTGGTTAGCCCTGTTTCTCTTCATCTATTTTTTCCCTTGGGGTTCTTTACCTTTCCTTCTGTATGCCCTACTTCCCTGCTCCTTCCATGGCTTCCTGGCTGCGGGCCATCTGGCCAGCTGGCCCCAGGCATCTCCTCTTTCTCCCTCCTTTTCTCTCAAGCCTAGATTCCTCCTCCTACTTACTGATTTTCTTTGCCTGCCACCCCTGCCTATGTCTCTGCTGCCTAGCTATTGGCTATTCAGCTTTTTATTAGACCAATCAGGTGCCTTAGGCAGGGTAAAACAGCAACACATCTTCTAATAGTTAAACAAATGCAGCATAAGCAAGCGTAACACATCTTTGCCTAGTTGAACAAATATTCCATAATAGGACAGTGTCTGTGGCTAGTATCAGAGTCAAACCTCTAGAAATGCATGAGTTGGGAACCCAAGAAGAGGATGTAAAAGGCCCCTGGGCTTCTAATGCCTGCCCTGTGAGGAAAGACAGCAAGTGTGGACTGTGCAATCCCTGGATGTGAGCATCTGAACTGAAGTTTATTGCCCAGGCATTACAAGCCTCCTTCTATGATAGCGATGCCAGTTTGGGTGCTGTTATCTCGTTTCCTTGCCCATGATTCAAAAGTCAGAAAAGACAGCTCTGTCCTGCAAAGCCAGGTCTTCATCAGAGCGGCAGGGAAGGGAGTTCTGGGAGGTGGCAGAGTGGCAGTTCCATCCTCCTTGCAGAATCACCCTTAAGTTTGGTACAGGATTACCAGCACAGCAGGACACTCGGGTGAGACAATCTCTTCTCCTGTAGCAAGTTCAGCACCCACTGAAACATCATAAAGGAGGATGTTCCACAGAGCACTGACTGGCCTGTTTTTATGTTTTCCATATATTTAACTCTCTCTCTCTCTTTCTCCCTCTCCTTCTCTCCCTCTCTTTCCTCCTCCTTCCCCCTCTCCCTTCTCTCTGCACACATGCGTGATGTGCACTCTTTCCTTGGGTTTCATCCACCTTTTGTTTTGAAGACAGGGTCTCTCAGTGGCCTGGAGTTCACCTAGCGGGCTAGGCCGGCTGGCCACAAAGCCCCTGCTCTGGGTTTAGAGGCTTGCCCTCCCATCTGGGGTCGAACACAGGTTATCTTGCTTGTAAAGTAAGTACTTTGACAACTAAGATCTCTTGCCAGCACCTTACATTTTCAAAATAAAGGTGGAGCAGGTACAGTCTTTAAAAGTTTCAGATGCCCTGAAACTTTTGAGGGCATCTTAAGCAGCTTTCATGGTGGCTTTGGATCTCTGGTCAGCATGCCTGCCTACCACACAAGTCAGCTGGCTACAGCTAACTGAAGTAGCGAGACTGCAGGGGACTTATAAGACAGTTTTACTGCTGGGGAGTACAGATGGATGCCCAGAGTTAGATTAGAAATATAAAACAGAAAGAAATTTATCATCACAGACCAATATCAACTTCCAAGGACCCCTAGGGCTTACCAACCTTCATTTGAAATGAGCAAATGGTGAGACAGTCTAAGGCAACAATTCTCAATCTTCCTAATGCTGTGGTGACCCCCAACCCTAAAATGATTTTGTTGCTATTTCATAACTATAATTTTGCTACTGTTATGAATTGGAATGTAAATATATGTGTTTTCTGGTGGTCTCAGGCAACCTCTGTAAAAGGGTCATTCATCCTCATGGGGGTCACAATCCATAGGCTGAGAACCAGTAGTCTAAGGACTTAGGAAGCAAAGTCGATATGAGGAGGTAGCATTGCTGTTGGTGGGCCTGGATCACTCCTTCAAGCCTATAGGTAAACCACAGCCTTAGATCTGAACACCAGCATGGCACAGAAGTCCACAGAGCACACAGCCACCATGCATGAGGGTGCTCTAAGGAGCATAGTCCAGGAGGGGCTCTGGGAAGCTGCCTATGAACAGGGCCTGCTGGCTTCTCTCACCTGGTTGGTGGTGACCTTGAGGCAATATGACATTCCCCACCCTGCTTCCCTGAGTACTAGGAATGACACCTATTACTGGAACATCAAGAGGTGCCAGGCACTTTCAAGATGGCACTGAGTCACATAGAGAATATATTCTGAAAGGTTCCTTGTAGAAAGTTAATTTTTGTCAGCCTATCTACTTACTGACTTATGTATTTCCAAAATACATATCAACTGCTTCCCAAATGCTAGGTACTCTGCCATGACTGAAATACAATTTCAGAACAATACCTGTAAAACATATTGAATTCCTTGGGAGAGAGGCATGATACCCTCTGGTTAGAGAGATGGCTCAGCCATCAAGGTTGAGAGGCTGAGAACACTTGCTGCTCTTACAGAGTGATGGGGGAAGTTCTTCTGTGTATGTGTTTGTCTTATTAGTTGATAAATAAAGCACTGCTGGCCAATAGGGGAGCAAGTTAGGTGAGACTAGGAGAGAAGGAGGATTCTGGGAAATGTAGTAAAAAGAAGTCTTGTGATACAGGCAGGAAGTGACATAGCAGGCAGCTTCAGAGCAGAGAGCAGGAGGAAGAGGAAGCCATGTGATCCCAGCAAGACAGGACACATTCTGCCGGCGTCCTCCATAAGGTAAGTCTTATGATTATGGTTGATAATTAAGACTGAACTATCAGATAAGAAATCCTAGTCATTGGCCAACAGTATTGTAATTAATATAAGACTCTTGTGTTATTTTGGACGGTTTCCAGCACCACATAGGGCACCTTGCAACCACTTGTGAGTCCAACTCCAGGGGATTTGATGCTCTTTTCTAGCCTCTGTGGGCCCCTGTATATAGATTTCTCACAATACCTAATACAGTGCTCATATGCATGTACACATAATTTTAAAAACTTAAAGGACCTTTACACCCATTAAATCATTTTAAAATTATATCTTCTGGTCTTTAAAAGAATAGTGGAGCAAGAAACAATCCAGATAGTTCTATTATCTCCATACCTCAGAATGAAAACTTCAAGATGAACGTTTATAGTTAATTGGTAATTGTGCATTGAGCACCAAATATCTCCAAACATTTCACTTTCACAACAGAGTTACAATATGGACAGGAACTTTGACCAGATGTCTTCTGAAGAACAAAGGAGAATCCTAGAATTCAGAACAGCTACATTAAGTTCAGTCCAAACTCTGATGAATTTGAGGCCATGGAGATAAGAAGTGACTGGGGAACCTCATGCCCATCAATAACACACCAAGGCAGAACGTGGGATTCCCGAAGACCAAGATGTACTTTCATTCATAAGGATGCTGTGTGGCCTTTGCCTGAAGCCCATTTCAACTGCACACAGTCTAATCTTCTAGTCTGAAGCCTCTTTTGAAATCTTCTTCACCCCATAAGATGGCAACCCCATCCTTCTAAATGCTCGGTCCCAAACTCCCTAGCCTCCTTGGTCCCCCTCTTTCTATTTTACTCTGTAATAAGTTCATTGGCAAACTCTGACATCTCTGGCTTCCAAATTAGAATCCAATTAGAATAGAGCCTGGTATCCTCAGACCCACGTCTGCATGTGTGCAGACCTCTTACATCATACAACAGCATTTGCACACAGTTCATGCTCCTCTCTCCATATATTCTACAGATTTCTCATAACGCCTAATGCAGTGCAAATGTCATGTGAATAGCTTTATGCCATGTTGTTTATGGAAAGATGACAAAAGAACCTGTGTGTGTGTGTGTGTGTGTGTGTGTGTGTGTGTGTGTGTGTTCAGTTCAGACAGTTTTAATTCTGTTTACTACCTAGGTTGGTAAGACCCATGGATGCAGAGTAGGAAACAATGGACATTTCTCAGCACTCCACTTCCCTGTCTTCTCCCATCTGTCCCTTGCTTGCTCTGTAGGACTCATGGTCCCCTTTCTTTCCTCAAACAGACAAGCACTCTTCTATCTTGAGGACTTTGTTTTTCCTGTCCCTATGGCCTGCACCTCTCATCTCTCAGGTTACCAGTAAAGAATGCATTGCCTAAGAGAAATACAAAACTACCCATACATGTTATCTAAAGTGCTCCAGCCACAGTTCAAAACAGAAGAAAAAGGGAGCCTGGGAAATTAATTAGAATAATATATTTAACCGATATACTCAAATTTTTGTCATTGTGATATGGGATCAACAAGAAAAAAAGTTCCTGAGATATTTTATATTCTCTTCATTTTTTTTTCATATTGAATCCTCAGAATAAATGGATACATTACAGAGTACCTTGTTTCCAGACAGAGGTGAGTCAAGTGGATGGCCCACAGGACATCATAGGTACTGAATATGGACCTGTGCACCTGAGACCTGTGTATCGTTCAAGTCACAAACAAAGCCCACCTAAGTAACACAGAGACTGGACCATAACATCTCACCTTTAATAGCATCTACACATTCGTGGACTTCATGAGGGACTGATCCATAATAAGTAGAGCAAGATAATCTTAACACTGAAGCTGGACTCTGGTACTATAACCATGTTACTTCTTTATTATCTATGTGTGGTGTCTATGTGCATATTTGTGTGTAGTGGGGTGCATTTGTTCACAATATGTTTGTGGAAGTCAAAGGGCAGCTTCACATGTCCATTCTCAGGGTTCATTCCAACTTCTGTCTGAGAATGGAGCTCTCGTTGGCCTGCAGCTTTGCCAGGCTGGATGGTTCATGGGCTCACAGGGCTCCATCTCTCTCTGCCTTCCATCTTACTCTTACTGGTATCTCAGGGTGCATTACTGTGTCCATCTTCCACATGGGTTCGAGGGATCTGAACTCAGGTCCTCTGGCTTGGAAGGCAACTACTTTATGGTCAGAGCCATCTCTCCAGACCAGGAATATAATCTCAAACACAGAAACCTACCTTTTAACCTTGGGTACAATAATGACCTTGAGCACTATGTACCACCAGAGGTGGCCATATTACGCTTGCCACAGAAATGGGGCAACAGAAACTGAAACTTGCTTAGTAAACAAAAAGGAGGGACACAAAGCTTACTTAAACCTGTAGTTTTCTCGCTTATTGTTCACAAATCCATCTGCCAGATCTCGGGGTAAGAGAATTTCCAAGCTAGGTGTTAATTTTTCATCTTCATCTATAGAATAAATCTGCAAATATAAGAACAGGTAGATATAAATGGTAAAATTCCAGCATGGCCTCTGACCTGAATCAATTAGCATTGTAATGGTACAAAACCTGTGATTTTATGACAAAATGTCATAGCACAGTATAATATGTAAAATTTTCTTTGAACTGTTAGTAGGCTCATACAAATACATAGAACAAAACAAGAGTTAAAACCTAAATGATGCTTGTATTAGTGACATTTGTTAATGTGATAAAATGCCATGACCAAAAATACATTTATGCAAGAAAGCGTTTATTTTAGCTGTGGTTCCTGTGGGAGAATCCATGAGGGCAGGGAGAAGACATTACAGCGGGGGATCAGAGCAGGAAGCCTGGAGATCATATCTTCAAACACTAGTATGAGGCAAAGAGAGTGACTTGGGAGTGGAGTGAGGCCATAAACCCACAAATCCCAACCCAGTGACATACTTCCTCCAGCAAGACTCTAGCCTCCCACGGTTCCATAACTAATAGTGCCAACAGCTGGAGACCAGGGGGAGCCTATGGGGGACATTCCCATTCAAGCCACCGGCAGGCTATATCAATGTTCTGATGATCTAATATCCAAATTTGTTTGTGTAAATACATCCTTGATAAGAAGATCCTCAAAAGCCTTATTCTAGGCACTGCTTCCCCATCTAGAGAAGACGTTCACATTCTTGCTACAACTACATGAGCACTTCTGAGCATGTGTGAACTACAGACAAGAGTCACAACAACGACATCTGAACCTTCTCAGAGAGCTCAGAACCTTCTCAGTTATATCCCCCAAATCCAGAGTTTCAGGAATCTGATAAGTCATGTGGTTTGAAAAGATGTGTTTTAGTGTCTTTGATATCTTGTGCTTTCATGAAAGCTCAGCCACTACTCACTAAGTGACCTGGGAGAAATCACTTCCACTTTCCAAGCTGACATGGAAGTAGAGAGCCCTAAAACCTTGCCAATGGAACCATTTTCTGATTCTAGTCTCTGTTACCCACTTTTTATTTCTTGGCCAGGAAAATCAACACTCAAAGCTAATAAAAACAAAACAAAACAAAAAATCCCAACAATTTAATGTCTGCATGCTGTACCCAATGACCAGGTGTATGACCAGGCACTGCTCTCAGCGTCAAAGGTCCAATACACAAAGTATGGGAAACAAAATCTCCAGGTTCCCTCGCAAAGAGCAAGGGTGGGAGTCTGATGATGTAATGCAAATGGAAGTATTCTGCAATGCACCATGAAAAGATTGAAAAAAGGCTTCTTGTCTTTCACCAGGAAATAAAATACTGTCGTACAGACAATACTTCCTGTTTAAGTTAGATTCATTTAGACTTATGATTAGAAGGTAAGAGTCATATTTTTACCCATGGAAAACCCAAGTTTATAGAAAGCATGAATAATTCCCAAAGCAGATTTTTTTTTGAATTTGAGACAGGGTCTCACTATGTAAACTTGACTGGGTTGGAACTCGCTCTTTTGACCCAGCTGGCAGAGATCCATCTATTACTGCCACCAAATCCAAGTGCTGGGATTAAAGGCATGTGCCATCATGCCTAGCCTAAGTCGTTTCTTACTGGAACAACTTACTTAAAAAACATGAAAAGATCAGGTGAAAAAGCCATTTTGTAAAATAAAATTTCTGAAAGCAGAAGAGGCATTTGAGGCTTTCTAACTAGATATTTTTCTCCCAAGAGACATTTAAAAATTCTATATTTCTAGGTTAGAACCTAACACAACCAGCAATAAATAAATGAACAAACAAAACAAAACCGAAAGTCAATGAAATGATTCCTAATGATACTCTGCTGTACTTGCAGACCAGAACCTAGCACACTCATCATTAGTCTTCATCTGGCAACTGGTGGGAGACAATGCAGATACCCACAGCCAAACAGTAGGCAGAGCTCAGGAAATCCCATGGAAGAGGGAGAAGAAGGATCGTAGAAGCCAGAGGGTCAAGCACACCACAAGAACACAGCCCAGGGAACCAACTAACCTGGGTTCACAGAGATTGAACTGACAGCCAGGGAGCCTGTATGGGTCTGACCTAGGTCCTCTGCATATATGCTATGGTTGTGTAACTTGGTGTTCTTATGGGACTCCTACCAGAGGGAGTAGGGAGTGTCTCTGACTTGTCTGTCTGATTTTGGGACTCTTTTCCTCCTACTGGGTTGGCTTGCTCAGCCTTAAAATGAGGGGATGTGGCTAGTCTTATTATAACTTGTTATGTCATGTTTGGTTCATATCCTTGGGAGGCCTGCACTTTTCTGAAGGAAAACTGAGAAGTGGGTCTGGGGGAGAAGAATGGTGGGGAGGAGATGAGGGAGAGGGAACTGAGAGAAGACTAGAAACAATTTATCCTGCAGGGCAGGGCGTTACTAGTTTAATAGAAGTGAGTAAAAGGAGTGCGTATGACATGAAATACACAAAACTGGGGGGTGACACATAATTTAAAAAATCCTTTTCTTGGGTGGAAGCTAGAGATCTGAGTGGTTAAGACTGCTTCTATTGTTTCAAGGGACATGGGTTGGACTATGGCACCCAGTCACCAGCTCTGGGGCATTGCTGCCCCCTCTGGCCTCTGAGGGTATCTAGCATGTCCACCCATCTTCAACATGTACACACACACACACACACACACACACACACACACACACACACATTTTAAAAAGGAATCTTTACAGACAATTGGTATCTCTCTATGCACAATAATCAGAAAAGGAGGGACTGGGGTAGCAGATGAATTCCCACCACTGTGCTTAAGACATCTTTCAAGGCATTGGGAAGTCAAGAGCTAGAGGGTGGCACAGTGCAGATGCTTCCCCAGCGTCCAGATGGCCCTGAGTTCAAACCCTCACACTGCCACCACTAAAGAGAAGAAAAAAAGGTCCATTGAACCAGAAACTTTAGTCTAACAGAGTGGCTTTTACCCTTCCTCTATGTGTGGCTCTCTCTCTCTCTCTCTCTCTCTCTC